TAAAGACATAGTTCTACCTCCATCTTAAATTAACAGTCTACGTTTCTGGGTGAGTATCCAGAAGATGATGTTGAACATTTAGTCCTTTCAAGTAAATACCAGATCCTCAATTTTCTCTTCCAACAGACAGTGGGTCATGCTATTGTCCAAAAATTCCTTTGTCACAGATTTATTACATCAATATATAGACAGCTCCACAACCCATGTGTCATGTGGGCCAAAGTGCTAGGGATTGGGGATATAAAGGTGAATGGCCTCAGTTGTTCTGTGATTATGAACTGACTGTTATAGTGTTCAGTGGCTGAGAAAGTTGCAAATGTGACTTTTACATTTCATAGGAGAGTACTATGTCACAGAAACGACCAGTTAAATGGCCCTGAACCACCCTTCCTCACCATGAGAACCCTTACTCGACGACTTGGCCAAAGACTAGAGCAGAAAACACCGAGCCCCACTCCCAACCTACTGTTGGGTTGTCATAGTGTCCTTAGGCTCCAATGGCTATAAAAAGCCAAGAGAGCCTAAATGCTGGTCATTCAGCTTGGACCTCCATGTTCCGGATGTTCTAAGCTCACTCACTGGGCAAGATGCATCTGCTTACTGCAGGGGCCTCTGTTGGGATGAAGGGAATGTGGACCCTCAGGACTAAAAGCAGTGGGAGAGGCCTGGGAGGTGGGGCCTGGGTAGGCGGGGTCTACTCTGACGTCACGAAGCCCCTGATGGTAGAGGAGACGGTGGGCGCAGGCTCTGGAGGCCCAAGCGGAAGAGGGGAAGGAGGTGAGCCCGGAAACCCTCGGCCAATGAGAGAGGGCTGAGGCGGGGCTGCTACGGGGCTTAGCACTGCGGGGCTCTGCGCGGGAACGCTAACCTGGTCCGGAGCCGGCCTCGGTCTCAGCCCCGCGGGCGGCCTTTCCCGAGTCTTCAACCCTTCAGGTGAGGACGTGCGGCCCCGCGGAGCCAGAGGACCATGGGGACGGGAAGGCGTGGGGGTCGCGAGGTGGGGATGCCGCGCCTTCGGAAGCCAGAGCGGCCGGGTTGGGGCTGGCGCTTCGCGTCTGCACCGCCGCCCGGCCGGGCGAGTCCGCGCCTTTGTCTTCCCCCGGGCGGGCGCCGCCCTCTGCGCGGGATGCCTAGCCCTCCCGGGGGGGGGGGGGGCCGGTCCCTGAAAACAAGGCCCCGCGGTGAGGAGGGGGGACGAAGCCTTAAAGCGGCCGGTCCGCAGTAGCTGCGGGTCTGAGGCTTAGAGGATGAGGAGTTTGGGGGCCGCCAGGAATGGGCCCTCTGGGGCTGGGCCCTCGTTCCCTCTCCTCGCATGGCCGTTGGGCTGGGCGCCCGACAACGCTAATAGTTACTTGAAAAAGTATGCCAACTGCTCCTGACAGACTGGCCTCTGCGCCCGGCCCTGCTATTATTTGTTAGTTCCATTTCGCAGCGCCGAGCTTGGAGTCTGATCGCTCGGCCGAGTAGGGCCTTAGGGTAACCTCGACGGAATGGAGGCATGTTCAGCACTTCCGGCTGCTTGGGGTCCTCTCCATTCTACCCCGGCACTAGACGAAGTGTCTTACTCCGCCAGGGTGGGGCCGGGCTCGCCCACCAGAGCTCTGTCTTGCGATTTCTGGGATATCCTATTGTCTCTTCTGGACAAACGCGGGACGCTCACAGGGCACCAGGCATTCCGTCAGCTCCACAGCCACGCACCTCTGAGCCTCATCTCCTTGCGTCTCTCTCTGCAGAGAAACGATGGTTAAATAAGACTCCTATTTGGTTTATTCCATTTTGCTGAAGTCCTGGGTCTGATCCTAGTTAGCTGTTCCTTCTTACAACGTGTATAAACCAATGCCACGAGGAGCTATTATGAGACGTCTATTGTAGTACCTTAATGTACTGTCTTCTTTGGGGATTTAAAATAGAAATAAATTAGTACAACTTATGCCACTTTGTTGTGTGCTGCTCTCCATGTCCCAAGAAAAATGCCAAAACCCAAAAGTAATAGAAAGTGAAGATGCTCAAATAGCGCTATATCTCCTGTTACAAAATCATTACCTGGTTAAAGCCAGACTTTTTTTTTTTCTTCTATTCCTGTCTGGTCTTATGTTTCTATCACCTCCATTTTACCCTTGCTGTGATTTTAAGAGTAAGACATATTGGCTCTGGGTTTCTAGAGCATCTTGGTTTCTGGGACGTTCTGATCCAATGGCATTTACTGCCTATCGGAAATGGCTAATGCTATGGAAATTAAATTATACTAACAAAAATAAAACTTTTCTAAGATCTGTTGTTGTTTTTTCTGTTGAAAATGAGCAGGTAGAATACACATTGATAGGAAATGTGAAAATTTTTGCTTGTGACCCCTTAGTCCAAAGACAGTTCTGCCAGGTAAGCTTTCTTAAAAATCTTTTTTTCTGGTGGAGCGCGGTGGCTCACTCCTGTAATCCCAGCACTTTGGGAGGCCGAGGCGGGCTGATCACTTCAGGCCAGGGGTTTGAGAGCAGCCTGGCCAACATGGTGAGACCCCCGTCTCTACTAAAAATGCAAAAATTAGCTGGGCATGGTGGTGCATGCTTGTTTGTAATCCCAGCTACTTGGGAGGCTGAGGCAGAGGAATTGCTTGAACCCAGGAGGCGGAGGTTGCAGTGAGCTGGTATTGTGCCACTACACGCCAGCCTGGGCGACAGAGTGAGACCCTGTCTCAAAAAAATAAAGATAACAATTTTTTTTTTCTTTTCAGTCTATCTTCTAGTCAAGATGAGTGATAAACCAGACTTGTCGGAAGTGGAGAAGTTTGACAGGTCAAAACTGAAGAAAACTAATACTGAAGAAAAAAATACTCTTCCCTCAAAGGAAAGTAAGTCATGGGGGTGTTCTAGTGGAAATAAACATTAGAGAAAGTTAATAGGTTCGGTAAATCTTCTAGTAAATTTTTGCCACAAAGTAAGCAATAATTAGAGCACCTTGGTATTTAATGCAATGGGTAAAACTATCAAATAGTTTTCTTCTTGTTCTCATATGATGGGTCTAGTAGTGATGGGGCAATAAAAAACTAGTTTCTTGTTTGAAAATGATTAAAAACCACATTACAACCAATCTTGGAATATTAGATGTAGCACTAAAAAGACACTTAGATTTTGTCTACTTTTGGGTATTTGGTATTTTTCTACATTTAGAAATTTTAGTCCATAATATTATCCTTAAAGAACCCTGTAGAATCTGCAGTTTTGGCCTTCTATATATGATGACAAGACAAGGTGAGATAACAAATTTACTTCTGGGTATACTCAAATCTCTCAGATTCAAGGGATCGATTCTGCCCTTTGGAGTTACAGCCTGATGGAGAAACCCTAAGCATATTCACAAAACCTGAGAGGCCCCTTTTGTTATATCAGTTTTATTTGAAAGTTGCAACATTAGTTAAAATTATCTGAAAATGTATACTTTCCTAACGATATAGTGATAAATAAATCTGAAGAAAGTTCTCCGATTACTCCTCGGTCTTGAATAATCTGAAAAAAATGGCAACAGCATTTGGAAAAACAAACCCTACAGTTGACGTAGTTTCTAATTGGTAGTTCAGGTGGTTAATGTGCACACACATGCATGCACACACCACACCGTGAGTTTCACGGTTAATGCCTTGGCATTCCAAATTTAAAGCATGTATGGCAGCCTTCAATGACTTACAAAGAGTTCTTTTGGAAGAAGCTGAACTTAGGAAAATACTTTTGTAATTTTTTGTTTCTTTTCCCCCCGCTAGCTATCCAGCAGGAGAAAGACTGTGTCCAAACATCATAAAATGGGGATCTCCTCTCAAGAGCAGATTTCAACATTTCCTGACGGTTTTGGTTTTAGGCTTGTTTTTTTGGTAAACCTATGTGTTTGTAGAGATTTCAGGCATCTTCTGATTTCTTCTCACCTATATTTCCTGGCTAAGAGATCTGGGGTAGTGAATGTTTCCTTAAGTTCCTTTCTAAACTTCCCATTGGTATGTAAACTCCAAATGACAGATGCCGTCAATAATCTTGCCATTGATGACAGTTGTGTGTGTAGTCCTTCCACCTCATACAGGAGAAGCCAATTCTAACCTTCTACAACGGGTGCCTCAATTGTTTCATAATCTTCATGAAGTTGCATCCTTTGGCAACATCTTACAGTTTATTTTCACCTCCAATGTCGCAATAAAGTAATACATATAATCATTATCATGTGACTCTTGTAGTTCATTCTGGTAATATTCTAAGGAATGAAAAGTACATAAGGCTACCTTTTCAGCCAAACAAAGTGGTTGAAGGAAAACTGTTAGCAGATTATTCATGGGGGGAAATAATCAATTCTGTCCAGGTCCAGTGAGTCCTGACTTGGGGATGCTAGGTGCTCTTTCTTTAGAGTTGGAACCACAGAGTTACAGAACCTTGGGAGAGAAGGTCATGTGGACTAACCTCCATATCTCAGAACAAAGAAATGAAAACAAAGGGTCTCATGTGATCTGTTCAAGCTGAATAAGGGCTGGAGTTCAAGCTGGGCTCTCTTGCCTTCTGGAAACTTTTTCGGCTTAGTGGGAGTTAATATCCAAGACTGAAGGTGGCTGTCTATGTGCCAAGAAGGGAGCCCTCACCAGAATCTGACCTTGCTGGATGTCAACTTGAGATTTCTAGAATCTAGAATTGTGAGCAAGTACATTTCTGTTAAGTCACTTAGTCTATGCTAATACAATAAGGAATATGTGTAAATGCATGCATTTCAATTCCTGCCTTTAAACAATACTTTTATCCCTTTTTAAAAATTATTATTTTATTTTTATGGGACAGGGTTTTACTCTGTCTCCCAGGTTGGAGTGCAGTGGTACAATCACAGCTCACTGCAGCCTTGACCTCCTGGGCTCAAGCAATCCTCCCACCTCAGCCTCCCTAGTACCTGGGACAACAGGCACGTTCCACCACACCCAGCTAATTTTTTTGATTATTAGTAGAGATGAGGTCTCTCTATGCCCAGGCTGGTCTTGAACTGGGCTGAAGCAATCTGCCTGCCTCAGCCTCCCAAAGTGCTGGGATTATAGGCATGAGCCACCATGCCCAACCTACTTTAATCACGTGTATAAAAATGAATCACCTATAATCCCACCAAATAGAAGTATTAGGCATCCAGACTTGTGATCGATTAATGTATATATATCTTCCTACAAAGATAGATTATACCATTCATACCTATTTGCAACCTCAAGTATTATCTTACCTCCCCCTTTCTAAGGGCTCACATTCTTAAATAATCACTTGGGTTACATGAAGTGGAAGCTGTTTTCTCTGCTATAGCTTAAAGTTTCAAAAGCAAAACAGTAAGTGGGTCAACTTGGATCAAGTGCCAATGAGGTGACACAGTCACAGGGCTTAGTGTAGCCAGAGGATTTGAGCCTTGGGGGTAACCATGTTAGTCACCAATACCTTAACTCCTGCCTGAGGCTATTGTCCAGTAGAGTGGCTGAGGCCCTTGCAGTGATATGCTGCTTACATTGTGCCCAAACCTGCCTTGCTGTAATTTCTATCCAATAGTCCTGGGATTGTGTGCTGGAGACCTAGAGAGGGTAGTTAATCCATCCTCTAGAATTTGAAGTCAGCTGTTGTGTGCCTGCCCCTATACTTCCAAGTCTTCTGCAGCTGACTCTTCTAAGATCCTTCAGACCCAAATTTCATAGATGGGAAACCATCCTGGTTGCAGATATGCTCAGATTTCCTCATTATCAGGTCTCTGAATCGTGATAATGATCCTATCATCCAACACATTTGCTCCCCTTTCTGTGTTGTCATTTGCACATTTGATAAAGATGGTATCCATGTATGATAGATTCAGCAACTTCTTCATTTGCGAACTAGTGCAGCTCAAAGGAAAGCATGAAGGTTGTCAGGTGACCTGGGGTTGAACGATAACTCGTAGTCAGTTGCATCTGGTAGTTGTCCTTTTCATTAAAGACTTGGTATGCTCCCTGTAAGTGTTAAACTGAGTTGGAGCAGATGAGAAGTGCATGGTAGGAGGTGAAAGACATGTAATTACTAAGTGAATACTCATACAGAAACGAGATGGGAAAAATGGCAGTTGTTCATCCGCAGTAGTTTTGCCCCGTGTTTCTCAATTATTTAATGTTGGGGTACTCTTCTAGTCACTGGGTTTACTTGTCTTTTCAATCAGGGTTAGATTTTTTTCTAAGTAAGCAAAGATTGAGATTTAGGTCCCTGAATTCATCTATTATCTACAAAACTGGCAGTACTAGGGCTTTGTTATAGCAGTTGCATTCATAGGGGAAGTAAAAGTCTGAAGTTAAATGATTGTCTTCCTTTATGCATCTACATCCTTTGAAAATCACTTGTCAATGGCTTTACACCTTTATTCTGTGTACACAGGCAGATATGACCTTAATGACTAAGAACAGAAAAGGATGAAATGTCAGAAAGAAAAACCATACTGAAAGTGAAAAGAGGAAAAGCAGCCAAATAAAATTTCATGCCTAATTCATCTTTACCAAGGATAAAAATGTCTCGTTTAGTATCATGGCTTAAAATTCCCACGAAACTGTACAGGCCAGTGAGTTTTAAAAACATTCTTAGAATATAATCAATGCATGTTCATACCTAATAAGAATATCTTGGCTTTGGCATCTTAAATGTGTAGAAATATGTTTGATGATTACCTTGATAATATTCTACCTATTTGAACTTGAGCAAGTGACAATCTTTGTGGTTCAGTTTCTTCATCCATAAAAATGGAGACAATTATTGTCTTCATTTTTATGGATGAAGAAACTGAACCACAAAAGATTGTCACTTGCTGAAGAGATCTTCTGAAAGGTAATTGAAGTGTTCCCCGTAAAGCACTTAGAACGATGCCTGGCACAATCACCGTTCACTCAAGGGTGACTCTTTATTACCACAGCAACCCCTGGCTTAATTGACATTAACCAATGTGAGTGTCAGCTATATAGGTGGTAATGAAAGGGAGTGAAATAAACTGGCAAGGTCAGAAGTGGGGTAAGTTCATTCAATCTTCTGCTTAATATGTGCCACGTAGACTCTACCAATGTTCGAGGGATTGTGATTTTCAGTAATCAAAATTGTAATTAAGTCTTTGACTTTACCATTGAACTGAATATGTTTTTGTCCACAGTCATATCAAATGGTGAAGAGACATCTCTAAAGAGCCAGGAAAAAATGCTGACATTACTGTGTAGTCACTAATTAAAGGCAAATGTATTGATTAATGGTATCATGAACATGTCTGATATATAACTGGATATTTTACAGATGTAAACAACACTCAGTTCTCTGCAGCAATGTTTTGGTGCAGAAAGCTTAGGGATTTCCAGAGAAATAAAACCAAGAGCACGTTCATCCATCTATCTATTGAGAGAGATTTATTTTAAGAAACCGATTCATGTGATTATGGAGGCGGGCAAGTCCTGAATCTGCATGATGGGCTGGCAGCCTGGAGTCTCAGGTACAAGCTGACGTTACACTTTAAAGTCCAGGAGGCCGAAGACACATGGGACAAACGATGTTGCAGTTCAAGTGTGCAGGCTGTCTGCTGCAGAATTTACTCTTGCTTGGGGGAAGTCAGTCTTTTTGTTCTATTCAGGCCATTATGGAGGGCAGTCTCTCTTACTCAGATCTGTTGATTTAAATGTTAATGTTACCCAAAAACACCTTCACAGAAACATTCAGAATAAAATTTGACCACAAACCCAACCAAGTCGGGTTATATCACTCTATGAAGTCAGGTTACCTAAATCTCTATCCTTGCTTATTTGGGTAAGAAATCTCCCCCTGGTTGGGAAGACAAGACAAGACATAAAATTGGCCATCACAGAGCCAAATGTGGATCATCAGGTAATGACTGTAGAAACCCAACCTGAAAAATATCCCCACTTCCTGCTTCCCACTGTTTCACCAGTTTGCAACAAGGTAAACATATGCTCCCCAACTTACAATGGAGTTAAGTCCAGTTAAGCCTATCATAAAGTCAAATAATTTTAAGTTGTACCATGCTGAGTTGGAGTCCGTCTGTATTGGACACAATTGTACAACACGGAATGGCTAAGCATATGCCTCAGAAAGCTATTGCAACATAGAATTGAGCACAGGAATTGTCGAATTTGCTAACCGCTGCTTGAAAAAGCTCCCGTCTTTGCATGAGAAAAGCATATTCCTTGTATACCTTTGCAGGAAGGCTAACTTGATGCTTTTGCTTTTACACCTCTGAATTGATCACATTGCCTTTGAGGAAAGATCAAGCTATGAAAAGGCTTGCTGTGAAGGGGAGGATCACCTCAGACTGTCTACCCTAGGTATCCATGCCTTGATGGTGCCATCACTACAACATGAGAGAGGATGGCAGAGGACAGTGTTCAAGTACTTGGGTTCTGGACTCAGACTGAAGTGGGTTTGAATCCTTGCTTTTCCATTTATCAGCTGTGTTATCACTGGACACATTACTCAGTTACTCTGTGTCTTGTCTGCAAAAAATTGAGGCTGAAATGTCTACTCTATAAAGGGTTGTTGGGGGAGTCAGTGTGACAAGCAGACCATGGAGGAAACACAATCTAACATTCTCATGGGTTTTCCACTGAGACTCAGACAGCTTTGTAGAGAAAGAATTTTTTTAAAAAGTGCAGTACAGGAAAGGGGACTGTACCCAAGAGATGAAGAAGGGCCGTTTGGAGTAGCCACGCAAATTCAGCAATGATCTCATAGGTTGTCAGGGGCTAGTGTCTTATCTAATAGAGGTTTATTGATTTATATGTTCATTCAACAAATACCTGAGCGCTACTACACTCACAACTTCCTGCATGATCTAGTTACCCTGGGAAGTACAGAGTCTTAAATTTGGACATGTTTCAGAGTGAAAGCAATGCTATTAAGAATTACTGAGGGACAACAGGCGAAATCAGGACATATGGTCACTACGCTGGGGAAAATGTCTGGGATTAGGAGAAATAGTAAACAGTCACTTTTTAAAGCGTTTACTTTGTGCCCCGACTCACTTCCCCCTTATTCCAGAGTAACAGTCTATGATGAAAGAGGAAGAGTATTATATTGGGTCAAGAATCAGGACCAACCACAGTTTGGAGAAAGCATTGTACGGAAGTAAGTGTTTTTATTGACCCAAATTACCATGGTGGGTTAATTTTGTCAGATACATGTGCTTGAAAGTGAAAAGGCCCCACAACAATCAAATGGAAAAGAGAAAAAAAAAAGGGAGAGCATCATCCCAGTTTTCTTAATTGGTCACTATCATTTTCTTTA